AGAGAGCAGCGCACCTCAGACTCTCGAGCAGAGACAGGACAAACGGAACGCCACAGAGAAGTGCAGTCCCGCGTTTATCAAGCTGAGTCCTGACGCGGCGTGAGCGCGCCCCCCTCGGCCTCGCGCCGCGCCCCGCGCCCCGCGCTCAGATGAATTCTATGCCTTCGTACTTCACACTTCCGATCCTGGTCTCCGGCAGGAGGAGGCGCCCGTCGAGCGTGAAGGCCGTGATGTAGCTGGCCACCCGGCCGCCGTCCTCCTCGGACTTGAGGGCCACGATGATCTGGTCGTCGGTGTTGGGGATGAACTTGAAGGACGAGAAGCCGTGCGTGGGGACGAGCTGGCCCACGCGGCGGACGGACACGTCGCGGAAGTCCCGCGCGGCGCTCAGCAGCAGGTTGGTGCCCTTGCGCTCGTCGTCCGTCTCGCTGTAGCGCTCGTGGCTGGCGCGGCGCGGCAGGAAGAACCAGCGCTGCAGCAGCTCGCTCCAGCACGCGGCCTCGTGGATGAGGTAGCCTGGGGCCCGGGGCGCGCGGCCGTCAGGGGCGCCAGGGGCAGGTTTAGCACCCGCGCCGCCTGCTCGCCGGGGCCCCCTTCCCAGCACGCGCCCCATGCTGCAGCAGCGTTGCCACCGTCTTTTCTCCAGGTCAGAGGCCCCCAAGGGGCACAAGCAAGCTGGACCCGTGCCAGAGACGGGACAGGGTGGGGGGCTGCCCCAATGCTCTGTGCCTTCCACGGTGCAGGGTGGGGAACGAGGCCGGCCTGGGGGTCCTCGGTCTGGCCCCCTCAAGCCTAGAGCTGGCCAGGCCACCCTGAGCATCACGACCACCCCCTCCACAAACCGCTTGGACTCTTGGAAGGCGAGGGACAGGACCAAAGCCCGGTCCACCTTGCCTCCAGTGTCAGGTGCCAGGGAGGCCCCGCCCCAGCCAGCCAGAACAGCTTGGTGGGGCATGCCTGAGACAGCAGGGGTCCACCTGGCGGGCGGCCCCCAGAATCTACTGGCCGGAGGGGAGGGGGCAGCCGTCAGAGACAGCAGAGCTGTCGCAGTGGAGGACAGGAACGGCTGTGCCGGGGAGTCCGCACCGGCCCGCGGAGGAAGCCCCGTGCAGCCCTAACCCCCTGGGCCCGGGCTGCGGCTCTTACCTGGGGGTTGGATCCCAGTGGCGGCCCGCAGGGCGTCGTAGCTGGACACCCAGCTCTCGTGGCGCACGCTGCCCCCGCAGCCCACCACCTTCACCCACTCGGGGTTCTCGTTCAGCACCTCCCCCGTGGCGGTGGTCCACTCCTTGCCCAGGCCGCCCACGTACAGATGCTCGTCCTTCACAGCCAGCCACTCGGCTTTGAAGCCTGGGGACAAGGACATGAGGGGAGCATGACTGAGACAACGGCCAGCCCCCTGCTCGCCTGGCCCTGTGGGGTCTGGCAGCCTGGGGCGTCAGAGGTCAGTGAGTCGGACTGCACTGGAGGCGGTGACCAGACTGGGGACAGTACAGTCTGGAGGGTCAGAAGGTGGGCTCCTCTCTTTAGAACAGACCCCATGACAGCTCACGCAGGGCTCCTGCTGATCTGCCCCCGTACCCCCTCTCCCCACTCTCCAGGGCGACTAGGTGGGCCCTCGGCAACTCTATACAGGCACCCTGCTGGGACGCCCTGTCAAACCGATTCAAGCTCCGGATGCTGCCTCACTTCCCTGCAGCTCTGAGGCCCAGCCCACCACCTGAACCTCCTCTGGTCCCCAAACTCATTTCTCATGGTTCCTCCTGTCACCTTAGGCAGCCTGCAGTGGAGACTGGCTTTCTACAAGGCTTAGACACAGGGAGAGTGGGGGGACACACGCAGGCCTTTGTCAACGCTCCTGCGGTGCCCGGCGCCTCGCGCCTCCTTGCCACTCCCCGGCTGAAGGCTCTGGCCACCGGGCTCCCTCTCCGCCTGCCGCCCGCCCGCTGAGGCAGTGACTCCTCTCCGGTAAAGAGCAGAGCCGTGGGTCACAGCCAGTCTCACAGGTCGATCCCACTCAAGTGAGGTCACACAGACCCTCCTGCTGGGTTTTCAGGAAGGAGGGCCGGGCGGCAGGAGAAGCGAACCTCTGCACCCAAGTCTCAGTTCAAAATGACAGTAATCTGACACCATGGCTTTCCAGGTAAGGCGCTTGGAGGGTGTAACCCCAGCATGCTCTTAAGATATCTTTTAAGACACAAAAAGGGACACATTCCCAGAGGTGCTGAGAGCAGCACGGGACAGCACCCTAAGTCATCCTGGAAAGAGCCCTCTCCTCGGCAGTCCCCGACTACGAGGCTCACGCCTCTAGAGACTCTGGTCTGAGGTCCCGCAAAGCTTGGGCTCCTGGGCTGGGGCACCGCGGCCAGAAGTGGGAGGAGTCGGGCTCTCCCCAACATCCCCTCCTTCTGTACACACGGATCCTTGACCCTGGGCATGTGCCACCCGAGCCAGGGACAGCTGGCCCGGGCCGCGCCCCAGCGCCTTGCGTGAGCCCGCGGGTGGGCCGGCTGACTCACCCTTGCCCACGGTGCCGTCGCCGTCGGCGAGGATGACCCAGGGCACGGCCTTGGTGCCTTCGATCTGGTACACAACCCCTGTGCGGTCGTCCACGGAGTACAGCCTCCCGTTGAAGACCACCAGGTCGGACAGCTCCATGCCCCGCCCCTTCTCTGCCAGGTGGGACTCCAAGACCTCGTGGCCTTTGTCCCACTCGACGGTCACCTTGTACCCACTGTCGGACAGGGTCAGATAGCCCTTCTTCAGGTAACTGAACCAAGTGTTCTCAGCCTGGGCCTTTGAGGCCGTGTCCAGGTCAGCGATCACGGCGATCCGGTACCGAGTCCCGCCCGGCGTCCTCTGGGGGGCGGACAGCGGGTAGGTATCATTGCACTGGGTAGCGGGGGCCTGGCTGAGCCTCCAGCTGCGGGCGCTGGGCGGTGGGGGCCTGCCTGGGGCCGGGTGGTGGGAGTAGAGTAGCCAGAGCAGAGCGGCACCCACGAAGGACGGCAGGATCACCTTCCAGCGGGGGCGGAAGCGGGGGTCCGCGGCCTTGGTCATGGACGCCAGCACAGGAAGGCCGCCCACACTTATCCGGAGGGCGTGCATGGACTCATTCCATTCCGGGGGTTCGGAGGGCTGGATGGGCATCAGACTGAAGGGCAGGTGGGATCTGCACGTCCAGGGAGAGAGGGGAGAGAGGTCACCGCCTGGAAAACACAGTGGCTTCCCACGTGCTAGAGGGCGCGAGGCCTTGTCCAAGGAGACACCGGCCACCACCTGAGGTCACTCCTACTGCTCGGCTTAATTAAACCCAACTCTAGCAAAATCTGTGTCCTCTCATTCAGAAAATGAGAAGTCTTTCCAACGCGACATCGTTCCATCTCCTCTGTCCCGGCTGGCCGGACAGACAGCTCAGCGAGAGGGACGCTCTGTGTAGGCTGGTGCTTTGTGGTCTCAAGGGAGGTGGCGGGGAAGAGAAGGTCAGGAACGATAGGATGACAGACAGGGTACAGATCTGCATTTTATCAGATGTCACCTCGTTTCAGAAGTCCTCCCTGATGGCTCTGCTCCCGACAGCACCCTCCATGCCCTTCATTGGCGTCTGTCACCACCCGACATGTCATACAGCTATCAGTTTGTCCATTTGTGTCCCCAGCTCCTATGACAGTGCATAGAGCAGACGCTTGCTCATTGAGTCTGTACTTCCTCCTGGAAGAGGCTTCCATAATATTCAAATATAAGTACAAAACAGACTCAAACCAAACAGAAATAGTACTGTTTGTGGCAACGCCTGTCCCTTGGCACCTTCTATTGATGCGAATGACTGAGGGACCAGAGCCTGAACGGCCCTCGCCGCCTGGAGGCCAGCAGGGCAGCACGTCAGCCCCGGAGGACAGCCGGGCTCACCAGGAACCTCTCTTGGCCTCAGGCCCCGCCCACTCCCTGGCACGGCACTGACGGTGGCGGCTGCCAGGGGCTGCTGTTCATCTTCCCTGAGCCCGGCTCACATCCTTGGCACGGACCATGGCAGCTGATAATGGCCACGGCCAGCAGGCTCTGCCTCCCTGGCAGCAGGACTGGCTGTGGCTCCTGGTCTCTGTCCTACAGCCCTAAGTCCCAGCCTAAGACACTCCTCTCCCAGGACCATGAGCGCTTGTCACCTCTCCCAAAATAACCACGGCCACACTGCCGGTGGGCAAGGGTGCGGGCTCAGGGGCCAAGCCCCAGCTCCGAGGATGGACAGGCCAGCCCTTCTGCCCTTGCGTTAGGAGATTCTTGGGTTCTGGCCACGGGCTCAGGTGCAGGGAAGCGGCCTCTGCGGGGCCAGCGAGGCAGTGGGGCCCGCGTCCCGAGGGCACCCTCCTCCCCCAGGACGCAGCCCCTGCGAGGCCTCAGAGCTGGCGGCCGAGGCCCTCGCGCTGGAGACGGGCGTCCCGGCCGGGGCGCTGAGTTCTCCTTCCCACCTCCCGCTCGGACTCCGCCCAGATTTCTCACCCCGTCCGCCCCTGACCTGATGTCTCAAACCTAAGTCGCACTCGGCTCTCGCCTCAACCCTCCCCGCCCCAAACCCTCCCTCAGGAGGAGCGGTGGCAACGGGACTGCCATATTTGCAGGTGCCCAGGTCAAAACTTCACGGACAGCCTAGGAGAGATGCACCTTCCTGTATGAGCGCGACACTCCGTGCGCCACACATGAACCACCAGCAGCTCGAAGACAGAGGCCTGGCCTTGACCTCCTCCTCCGCACCGCACCGCACCGCACCGCACCGCCAGCCGTCTCCACCCCGGCGGCTCCGTCCACCTCCACGGCCCCTTCCCGCCCAGGCCACTCGGACGGCCCCCCTTTACCCCTCTCCCTGCAGCCGGCGACACCAGCGACTCGAGCGGGTCCGTCGGACCCTGTTGCCACCTGCCGCCACAAACGCTACGAGTCTGCGGCTCTGCGTGAGCCACCAGCCCTTGTCCACCCAGGGCAGGGCCCGCCGTCCCTGCCTGCACACCCTCGCCCGGGCTCTGGCACGGCTACCCCACCTTCACCTTTCAGGGTTTTTCTAAAATGTCGGCTCCTCAGAGACGGCCCCCAGGGAGCCGTGCCCCCCTCCCTTTACGGTGTCTGTCGTGAGGCCCACGCTGCCATACGCCCCGGCAGCGGCCGGCCCGCTCCAGCTCACGCTCCTGCATGGTGGCCGGGCGAGCACTGGGAACGCATGCCGCTTCGCAGAACGAATGGAAAACACACCCACTTCCTCAGTAGCCCCTCAGATTCCTGTTCCCTCACCCCACCTTCGTCACACTGCAAACCCCCAGCTCTGGGTCCAGCCCCGAGGTCGAGCTGCCCAGCTGTCACAGAGCTGCAGGTGTAGTGGACACATGCTGCCAATGTCACCCTCTCATCTCCTGCCATCCCACCGGTGCCAGGGCCCCTCACGTGCCCACAGCCCACTCTGGACTTGGCTTCCGCCCACCCGGCCTGCCCTGGCCCCGGCCACCTTGGCCTCTGCTGATCCAGCCATGCCAGGTCCGACCTGAGCTCTGCCACTCACCAGCTGTGTGACCTTGGACAAATGACCTGGCTGCTCTGGGCCTCAGTTCCCTCGTGTGCGGAGTTCGGCTAGTGCCGACTTCTGGGGACCATGCCGCCCCCCATTCTGTCTGGCTGCCCCCCTCACCGCACCAGCACCTCTGCCCACCTGCGTGGAGGGCCCGGCTTCACAAGGGAAGTCGATGGGAAGTGGCTGGCTGCGGTGCCATGGGCTGTACCCCCAGGAGAGCCACACGTGCTTCGGGGGCACAGACCCACTGGGACCCGCCCTCCGCACGCGACATGATAGTTTTCTAGAAAGCGAATCTGGATTAAAATTCTTTACTAGACCCTGTGTCCCGCTGCAGGACAAGCTCCTCCCGGCAGAGACAGCCTCAGTCCCTCCCGCCCCCTCCCTGTGTGATGCTGGGCTGCGGCCGCATCGGCGTCCGTGTCTGCGTCCCTGTCCCCTGCGCCAAACCCTGCGCACGGTGCTTCTCCACCTGGGGTGTTGGGCTCCTCTGACCATATGGCACCCTTAGCCGTCCGGGATGTGCCACGGTAAGCCACACCTCCACTGTCCCTTCCCCTCGAACCCTAAGTCCCTCTCCGCCCTCCCTCTTCAGAGTAGTCCCCAGAAGAGCTGATGACACACCTGCATTTCTGGTTCCTGTCAAACTAGCATTTCCTTATGAAACAGGCGAGGGCCAGGGAGGTGTGGGGCTGTGTCTGTTCACTCCCCAGGGAGCTGTCCCAGACTCCGGGGGAGCGGCACGTGTCCTGGTGCACACCCAGGAGCGAGCAGCCCTCACCTGCGGTTAAGAACGAGGGCAGGCTCAGGCCCCCTGCCTTCATGGTCCCCCTCGGGCCTGCCAGCCCGTCCACCGGGCCCGCACAGTGGGCAGCAGTCCCGACCGGCCGAGGTGTCTCCGCTTCTCGCGGGAGTGGTCTGGGCAGTTGGCAGAACAAACACGTTTACGCCGCTGCCAGGGCAAAACTCCTCCCTTTCAGGATCCAGGGAGGGTGGGAGCGACAGCATGGTCTGCACACAAGGAGGCCACGCCAGCTCCCTGCCCCCGGACGAGGTGGCCACTCTCCTCCCCAGGCCTCAGCAGCAGGGTGGCTGCCTTCCCCTCCCCAGCACGTCCTTGAGCAGTCTCGAAGAGCTAGGACGAGGACAAAAATGGTAGGCGGGCTCCCTGCGAAGCGCGCTTCCCGCTGGAAAGCACGGAGCTAAACCCGCTGACCTTGCAGACTCTTCAGAGGCCAGAAGGAGGCCAAGGGCCTCTGGCGCCAGTGCCCACCCTGGAAAGCCTGCCTCCGCATCCCGCTGAACTCCGCATCCTCCCTACGCAGCAGGCACGCACACCGGCTCAGCGCGTCAAGTCGAACACGGGTCGGGACAACTTGCTTCTGTCCTCCGTACTGAAGGTGACCGGCCCTGGGAGTGCAGCCGTTCACCGATGCCACGCTGCTGCAGCTCTGGCAGCTCAGACACCACGGACTGACTGCAGGCCCTGCAGGACCGAAGCCCACCTGGCTCTCACTACGCTAGCATCAGGAACCGGCCCTTTCAGAGGCTCGAGGGGAGAATCCTCCAGCTCCTAGCGGCCGCCCACAACCCCGGGCTTGAGGCCCTTTCCCCCACCTTTAAAGCATCTCTGTGCCCTCTGCCAGCATGCCCTCTGGTGCTCTGCCTCCTCCTCCACTCTGAAGGACCCTGTGGTCACGCTCGGCCCAATCAGGTAGCCCAGTATGGGGTCCCTACACTAAGGTCAGCTGGTTTACGCCCAGACTTCCATCTGCTCCCTTGGACCCCCTTCGCCATGGAATATATGCGCAGGCCCCGGGGCCCAAGCCGGTTCACACGCGGCTGTCTCTGGGGCAGCGGCACGAGATGCGCTCTGCCCTCACGCGTCGCGGAGGGGCTGGACACGCTTTATTCGTACCCTCAGTGTCGTGCTTGGAGGACTTTCAGAGAAAAGCTGCCCGGTTGAAAGTGTCATCCCAAGTAACACTGCATGTCACGGGGCTTGTTTGCTGGCGAGCTCGAGACAAGGGGCTGTGATAACCCCACCATCAGCCCCAATTGGGGCAGGTCCCACGGAATGGATGCGCCTGCCCATCCCACCTTCTTGCCCGCTCGCCTCAGTGCTGGGCCCCAGGACACGGTGGCCAGCGCTGCAGGACCCCTCGGAGCCACGGTGGACAGGCTGCGACCTCACGCTCACTCCCACAGTCACTCACCCAGCCGCGCCCACGTGTGCCCACGGCCCTGTCTCGTTTCTCACGCACGGTCCCCTGGCTCAGCACAGATGCGGGGTCCTCTGCTTGGGAACCCGGAGCTGTAAGTTCCACTTAATGATCTCACTAACTACAGATGAACAAGTGGGATTCAAAACAAGTGCAGACGAAAAGAGAAAACCGAACATCTTCTCAAACAGACTTTTCCAGTAACAGGGCTTTTTCCTAAGCAATTGTCTTAGTCCAATGAAACTCAACAGAAAAGTCCTAAATAATCAGTATAAACCTTGTAAATTCCCTTCATGTTGGCATTTAGTAAGAGCTTTCCAGAAATCTCCACAGTCCAGAGGATTACTGCAGGAAAAAGAAATTTTTG